AGTCCCAGCTACTCGGGAGGCTGAGGCAGGGGAATCGTTTGAACCCAGGAGGCAGAGGTTGCAGTGAGCCGAGATCGTGCCACTGCACTCCAGCCTAGGCAACAGAGTGAGATTCTGTCTCAAAAAAAAAAAAAAAGAAAGAAAGAAAAGAAAATGTAGTGATTATTTTATTGTGGATGTTTTTACCTCATATAACATTTCCAACATTGTGATTAATAAATAAAAGTTGTGCTGCCAGAAAAGAAAAAAAAAGAACTAATGGAGAGAAAATCAGCCACGATGTAGAACTGAATAACACCATCAACCAAATGGAAACAATGTATATGTATACAAAATGCTACCTAATAATAGCGGAATAAACATTATTTCCAAGTGCACATGGAACACTCATAAAAACAGGCCACATTCTGGGCCATAAAGTAAGTCTCTACAAATGTAAGAGAATTAAAATCATACAAAGTATGTTCTTTAAGCATAATGGGATCAAACTAGAAAACAATAAGAGAAAGATAACAGGAAAACATCCAAACACTTGGAAACTAAGAAAACACACTTCTAAATAAACCGAGTCAAGAAATGTTTTTTAAAACATGAGAACTAAGGCAGGGCCGGTGGCTCACACCTGTAATCCCAGCACTTTGGGAGGCCAAGGTGGGCAGATCACTTGAGGTCAGGAGTTCGAAACCAGCCTGGCCAAGGTGGTAAAACCCCATCTCTACTAAAAATACAAAAATTAGCCAGGTGTGGTGGCGCATGCTTGTAATCCCAGCCACTTGGGAGGCTGAGGCAGGAGAATCACTGTCTCAGGAGGCAGAGGTTGCAGTGAGCAGAGATTGCATCACTGCACTCCAGCCTGGGTGACAGAGTGAGAATCTGTTTCTAAATAAATAAATAAATAAATAAATAAATAGAACTGAATGAAAATTGAAACACAATATATCAAAATTTGTGGAATGCAGCTAAAACAATGCATAGAGGGAAATTTATAGCATTAACTGCTTATATTAGAAAAGAAAGAAATGTCTCAAATCAGTGATCTAAGCTTATGCTTTGTTAAACAAGAAAAAGAAGACTACAGTAAACAAAACAAGCAGAAGGAAAAAATAATAAAGGCTAGAAATTAATTAAATAATAAAATAAATGTCAGAAATCAATGAAATTTAACACAGAAAAATAATAGAGAAAAAACAATGAAACCAAGAAGATGATTCTTTGAAAGATCGATTTTATTGATGAACCTCTAGTTAAACTGATCAAGAAAAAAAGAAGACAACTTACAAACATCAGTAATAAAAGAGGGAACATTACCACAGACCCTACATACACTATGAATATAAATGTGACAACTAGGATAAAAAATACCTTGAAACAAATTACAAAAGCTCACTCCAGAAGAAATAGTTATGTTTAAGTCCTGTATCTATTAGTGACATTAAATTCACAGTTTAAAAGCCTCACTAAAAGAAAACTCCAGCCCTAGATGCTTTCACTGGCAAATTTTATCAAACATTTAAGACAGATATATTGCGGGCTGGGCACAGTGGTTCATGGCTATAATCCCAGCACTTTGGGAGGCCCAGGCGGGCAGATCACCTGAGGCTGGGAGTTCTGAGACCAGCCTGGTCAACATGGCGAAACCCTGTCTCTACCAAAAATTAGCTGGGTGTGGTGGCATGTGCCTGTAATCCCAGCTACTCAAGAGGCTGAGGCAGGAGAATTGCTTGAACCTGGGAGGTGGAGGTTGCAGTGAGCTGAGACCACACCATTGCACTCCAGCCTGGGCGACCAGAGCAAAACTCTGTCTCAAAAAAATAAATAAAAATAAAAAAGAAAGATATAATGCTAGTTCTACACAATCTCTTACATGATATAGAATGTGATAGAAACTTTAAACTTTCCACCTCATTTTATGAGGCTAACTGTACTGATATTAAAACCTGACATGGACATTACAATAAAAGAATACTACAGAACAAGATAACTCATGAAAACACATGCAAAATTCCTCAACAAAATAGGAGCAAATTGAATTCAGCAGTATAAAAAAAATCATAACAAGTGGTGTTTATCCTGGGAATGAAAACCTATTTCAACTTTTGAAAAATGAATTTGATTCAGCTTATCAACAGCCTAAAGAAAAAAGAAAAAAGACATTTGATCGTCTTAATAGATGCAGAACAAACATTTGACAAAATTTAACATCCATTCTTGACAAAATCTTTCTGCAATCTAGAAAAAAACAAAAGGAACTTTCTCTGCCTGACAAAGGGCATCTATAAAAACAACACAGAAAAACTCAATGAAAATCATTCTTAATGGTGAACAACTGAATGCCTTCCCCCTAAGATTAGAAACAAAGCAAGGATATCTGTTTTCACCACTCCTAGTCAACATTGTACTGGAGGTCCTGGCCAGTGCAATAGGCAAGGAAAAAAATTAGTGCCATACAAATTGTAAAGGAAGAAATAAAACTGTCTCCATTCCCAGATGACAAATTGCTTAAAAAATTCCAAAAAGCGACCAAGAAAAAAGCTACTAGAACTAATAAGTGAATTTAGCAAGGTTGCAGCATACAAAATCAGTATACAAAACTCAATTGTATTTCTTCATCCTAGATTTTTTCTTTGCAGGACAGTTCTCCAGGTAGCCTTAGACCAACCTAGTTCTCCCCCTTTGTTGTTTGTAGTTATCAAGAATGACTGTAAAATTTGCTGGAAATACAACATCCTGAGACAGGGAGGAACTGACCAGAACAGCCTGAGCTCTCTTCCAGTCCCCCTACAGAAGACAGATGTCCTTCAAGGCTTTATCCCAGAAAGTCCTGAGGCTCCTGAGGTATAAAACCCAGAGTAGGCTGTCTTCCAGGATCCCACAGCTGCAGTGCAAATGGGGTACATGCAGATAAGCTTCCACCCAATTTCCTTATTTTTCTTATCTGCTATATATTTAGAAACTATGAAGGGATGCTTTCACTTATCGAATGATTTTTCAACATCTTGAAGTGAGCATGTGGTTTTTCTCCTTTGATCTGTTAAAGTAATGAATTCTATTAATATAGAATAATAGAATTAATCAGTTTAATAATAAAATGGTGAAACACTTTTGCCTTATTAAAACAAATGCTACAAGCCAGGCACAGTGGCTCATATCTGTAATCCCAACACTTTAGGAGGCCAAAGTGTTCAAGGCCAGGAGTTCAAGACCAGCCTGGGCAATATAGCAAGACCCCATCTCTTAAAAATTGTTTTTAAATTAGTTGGGCATGGTGGCATGTGCCTATACTCCCAGCTACTCAGGAGGCTGAGGTGAGAGGATCATTTGTGCCCAGGAAGTCAAGGCTACAGTGAGCTGTGATCATGCCACTGTACTCCAGCCTAGGTGACAGAGCAAGACCCTGTCTCAAAAAAAAAAAAAAAAAATGTAAAAATGCAGCAGCCATGATGTATATTTAATTTCCTAAATCTATATTTAGGATATTCTGTGTTCATAAGCAAGATAGATCTGTCGTAATGTTTTCTTGTCCTGTTCTAGTTTGGGTGACAAGATTATACAAGTCTCAAAAATTGAATTGGGTTGCTTCTCTTTTTTTCTGTACTTGTAATTTATTTATCAGCTTCACATGCAGTAAGTCCTTTGAATCTAAGTATCTGTGTCTTTCTTCAGTCCTACAAAATTTATAGCCATCATTTGTTCTATCACTCATGGTCTCTATTGCTCCCCACATCTTCCCAACCCGGGGTATTCTTATGAATAGATACTGAAACATTTGACCCCATCCTCCATGTATAACTTTTCTTTCATTTTGCTCATCTCTCTATCCCTTTGTACAGCACTCTGAGGGAATTACCTCAAATTTCAAGCTTGCTAATTTTATCCAACTATGAATTATATGCTCTTCACCCATATATTGGGTCCTTTTTAACAAGAAAAGATGTATTTTTTGCAAGATCTCTATTAGGATCTTTTTCATAACTATTTGTTCTTGTTTCCCATATGTAATTCCTTCCTTTATCTCTCCAATAATAACTGCAGACTTTTTAAAGTTTTCTCCTAATGCTTTATTGACTTGTGTATATTTTTCCATTTCCATGTGTTATCTCTCTTAGTGAAGTTGGCTTTCCTCAAATATTTTTTGAGTCTTTACTGTGTCCTTGCCATTGTGGTTGGGAGTCTCTGCTGGATGGCTGGGTGGGAACTGCTGCCGTGATTCTGAGGGTTTCGGTTGAGAGGGAAGGGCCACAGATTGGTGCCTTCTCACCTGGGCAGTGATACATCTTGTTTCTGCCAGGTGTGGCCAGTTACCTAAAGTACCACCTGGTCTCTGATCCAAGCTGCAACCCCTACTGTTCTCTAAGTCTGTTATCTAAAGGCAGACATCTTCACCTTTGCCCTTGGCCCATGGCAGAAGGAGAATGTGCAACAATCAATTAAAGAAAAACCCCAACTAACCACACCATTGGTAGCCCCTAGGGTCTCTTCTGCCCTGTTTGCACCGCCTCTAGTCCAGAGGCAATGTGCAGAGCTCCCCCACATATATATACCCTACTCTCGAGTTTCATCCGTATAATCTGCCATCTGTTCTCTGTCTTTTCCAGAATCCTGTTGTTTCTAGTCTACTGAGAGCCCCCTTTCTTGCTTTCAAATGGAACTGTGTATAGTGTTTGTTTGTTCTGTTTCTCTCATGTCTATTATTTCTATGCATTTGGTATAGAGGAGATAGACTGCACTGTGTGTTCGGTCCACCATCTTGAAACTGATGTTTTCCCTCTGTCCCATCTCCCTCCACAACCCCGCCCAGTAGCAAATACCTGGCCCTGTGACCAAGGGCTCAGGAAGCTACCAAATCTTTTTCTTAGGAAAAGAATTCGAAAGTTCGTGGTGTTGATTGGTTTTTGCCCCTGTTACCCCTAGGATGTAACTTCTGGGGTCTGAAGTCGAGAGTCCAAACCCCAGCTGCCCCACCCCCTCCAAGGAGTCCTTTGCCCACGTAGAGTCCAGCATAGATTTTGTGAAAATAGACTTTATTATAATAAAATGTCTTTTTAAACAAATTCCCCCACCATTCCACACCCCTGGAGACCAAGGTGGGGATGGGGGTTCAGTCAAACAATCTCCCACCACAGCAAAGGAAACATGCAAAGAGACACTCACCCGGCAGAGGGTGGGGAATGGAGTGGATAGGGTAAGGGTGGAGAACCCCCTACCCCACTCTGAACGGGGAATGTATGAAAATAGCTGCATAAATCTGTCCTTTTCTCCAGCCCCTGGACTCCAACAGGGGTTAAAAGAAAACTATGCAAAAGAACTTGAATCCAATGAGCAAAATAAGGCAAACCCAACTCCGCTTTCGGCCCCGCGGGCCCCAGGGTCTTTGGGGGCGGGACCATACAGGGGCCAGGAGGCCGCGGCAGGGAGGGGTGGAGCACGACGGGGGCGGGGTGGGGCCTGCTTTGGCTTGGCCTTTCTCCTTCCCGGGCCTTGCAGTGGAAGCGAGGTGGAAGAAGCTGAACTGAGGCACTGAGTATGTACATATATACACGGCTCCGCCCGCCTGCCCGCTGGGGAGGTGGGGCTCCAAGAAAATCCAGTGCAAACTTTCCTTCAGGGGAGGGAAGACAAGATCAGGACAGCCAAAGCCATCGGGGGGCACAGGCTCCTTTCTCCCCCCAGGGCCCGTCCTGGGACTGGGGAGGGTGGCAGAAGGGACTAGCGCAGCACTGTGGGACACTAGTAGACGAGGTGGGTGGACCAGGATGCGAGGGTCCTGGGTCCAGTCCTGGCTCAGTGACCTTGGTCGAGTTACATACTCACTGTGGGCTCAGTTTCCCCTACTGTAGGAGGAAGGTGCTTCTCTAGAGAGTTCATCCTTAAGGAGCCATCTAGCTCTGACCTTCACGGAGGCTCTTTGATCCTCTCTGAGTGCCGCAGTGTTAATGCAGAAGAACGGGGACTCTGGGCCCAGTCTGAGCCTTCCCTGCTCAGCGGAGACGCTGGTCTGGGGGCCTCTCAGGGCCTCTTCTGCCTGCAGGATGGGCCACAGCTTCACTCCTTCTTCCCAGAGCCCAGCCTCCTGAGGAGCTGTTTCCCCTTGGAGAAGAAACCCCACACCTTCTCACTTCTGCCCTGGGGCTCCCCACGTTCGATCCTGGGGGCGCTGTCAGGGCTGGGAGCACAGGGCCCACCTGGGGCCCCGGGGGGCCCTTGTGTGGTGCAGCCCCAGTCCTGAAATGTGAGACAGAAGGAGCAAGGTCAGGGCCTGATTCCCTCCCGACCCCCCACCACTTTTCTCCACAGCCTCAGCGGCCTGCAGCGTCCCATGTCATGGAACCATGGGTAAGAACCAGGGCCTCACCTCCCGCCACTCACTGCCAGACACACACAGCACAGGCGGCGAATGGGGAGGGTGATGCCGAGGGAGCACTGAGCTGGGAGTCCCAGGGGATGCAGTCTTGGTTCTGGATTGCTCACCTGTGACCCTGTGCAGGTCCCTTCCCTTCTCCCTCCAGGACGCAGGGCTGACTAAGCCCAAGAGTTCTTGGAAGCTGCCCCTTGGGATGGGTGCCCCCAACTTCTCACACGTCACCTCTCTCCCAAAAAACAGAGCGCAAGGACAAGGACTGCTTAGAAGCAGCTGTCACTGCCAAGGAAGGTAGCTTCCACAGCCCCTCGTAGACAGAAGGAGCATCTCCCCAAACTCAGCAGGTGTGGCCCCCCCAGGCCTTCAGGGAGTGGAGCCAGTACCCACTCCATGAGGAGGAAGATTAGGACTCTCCCTTAAGGGCCCTAAGAGGACTGTGGGGAGGCCAAGGACCCAGAGGGACTCACAGCTGGGGGCATCACTCAGCCCCCACCACAGGCTCTGGAGGCTGCAGCATCTTCTCCCTTACTGAATCTCCTCCTAACTCCACTCCCTTTGCCTCAAGCCCACCCAGACAGCGCTCCTTAGTGATCTAAGGCCAGGAAGCTGGGAGAACAGAGAAGCCACCAGAAAGCCCCCCACACCTCTGTTCCCACCTTCACCTCCGGGACCTGGCACAGCTCTGTCAGCTCTTGCCAGCCTGCATCTCTTCCCTTCCTCAAACTCCCACTCGCTGCCCAGAGCCTGGCAGGCTCCCAGCCAGAACCAACTATAGAGCCCAGGCCAGAGGCAAGGAAAGTGGGTGCACAGCCAAGGCCCCACCCCTGCCACAGGCCTGTGGTGATGTGGCAGGGCTGCCCACAGAGGCCAAAGCATCTACCCCCAATCAGCCAGAGCTGAGAGCCAGTTGGGGAGCCCCAGACCCTTCCCACTCCCTCTTAGGGCTCCTTCCGCAACATCCAGGAGGGAGAGGTTGTCAGGGAAACAAAAGAACGAGGTTTCTGGGCTCCCGAGAATAATGATTTGGGGTTATTTATGGATTTGAACTACTCAAACTTCCCCTTTATTTTTCTCCCAGGCTGGAGTGAAGTGGCGTGATCACCACTCACTGCAGCCTCGACCTCCTGGGCTAAAGTGACTCCCACCTCAGCCTCCCAAGTAGCTAGTATTACAGGCATGAGCCACCGCACCTGGCCAAACTTCCCCTTTTATCCCCCAAATAGAGAAAACTGAGAGTTTGAGGTAAATCATGCATCTGATCACCCTAACAGGTCACAACGCAGAGGACAAGGGTGGGAAGCCTATTATTACTGGTGGCATTACAGTGTCACCCTGGCACCAGTAATAATTACAATATTATAATACCATAGCCGCACAGTATCATAATACCACTGATGAGTCCTACTATGGATGCCACGTCATGTTCTATAAACCATATGTGTTATAGAATAGGAGGCATCAGCTAATATGGGACATCACACACTAAGATGACATGTAATCCTATGACAGCTGGCACTGCCCTGGGTAAAGGCAAGGCAAGGGGAGCAGGGAGGGGGAGGGATGACTCTATGCAAATCTGGCTCATGGCAAGCTCTCCTTTGCCATTCCCTGGACAACAGTGGGAAAGCTGGGTCAGCTCCAGTATTTGAGACAAAGGAGTGCTGTCTGATTATGGTCAAGTGGGCGTGAGGGGTCACATAGCGGTGCAGTCCCCCCACTTACATGTTGCTCTCTCTACATATATCTATCTCCATCTAGCACTGGACTCTTCTCCTCCTCGTTCTCTGAGGACAGGGAACAAAGAGAGGAGATGGGTTACAGACAGACCCGCATCTTCTCCGCCCGGCCGCCAGGTGGCCCTGTACATTGGTGGGCCCTGCTCTCCAAGGCCTTTGTGTTTACACATGGAAGCCCTGAGTTTTCTGACTGGGGCTTGGCCTCTTCACCCTCTCTCCCTGCCCTCTGAGGGTGGAGGCTTAGTTGTATTCCACCCACCCCAAGGAGAGGTAAGCTCTAGGAATGAGAACCCAGGAAGCTGGGCCTGGCTGGGCAACTGGCTTCCAAAGGCACCTGGGAGGTAGGGAGACCCCCCCCCCAGGGTGGGAGTATCCTGAAACAGGGACTTTGATTGGCTACAGGCATGAGGCAGAGGGGTCCTTTTCCACAGGGCCCCTCACCTGTGTCAGCCCCCGGGTGTTGGCAGCCGGTCAGATGGCCTGAGGGTCAGGGTCACAGCTATCACCCCTCTGCAGAGAGGGGCACATATTTGGGGGCAGCTGCCTGGTGGGGCTCCCCTCTGGTGGTCACTTAGTGGCTCTGCACTGGACACAGTGCTTACCTGCATGACCACCCCAGCTGCACCCCTGCTGCAACACTGCCCTGGCCCTACCACCCCACCAGTAGGGTAGACCGCCCTGCCAAGCTGGGAGCCCAGCTCCTCACTGACCTGACTCTCAGCCTGGGGTGTCCTGGGTTCCCTGTCCAGGCCTCCTGCCTCAGGCCCAGGGCCCTCCAGGAAGTTGGATGGAACCAGGCCCCTTTGTCCATTTAATTCCCCCTGGAGAGGAGAGGCTGGTGAGGCTGAGATCAGGAAACAGGCTCTAGCTCTGCCCCTCGACCCTGATGCCCCTGGGAAATAGCTGGGGCCAAAACCACTGTCCAGGGAGGTGACCCGTTCCATTCCACCAGACTTCCTGAGGGTTCCTTGCCCATCCCCCTGCCCGGCTCTGGGAGAGCCCTCCCTGGGAAGTCTGGGGGGCTGGGGTGTGGTACACCCTCCCCAACAATGTTCTCACATAGTAGAAACCGTCATCGTCCATGCCCCCAAACACAGTAATGACATCCCCTGCCCGGAAGGGCAGCTCTGCCTGTGGAAAACAAGAGGAGGGCATCAGGCCCAGGAAGGCTCTGCCACCGCCCCCTTTGCTGGGCTCTGTCTGAGGGTCCTCACCTCGACGTCCATATTGGGGGAACTCTCCTGGGGGTTGTAGTCAAATGCAGCCACCATGGAGTGGGGAGCTTTCAGTTCAGTGGAGGGGACCAGCTTAGGGGGGCCTGCAGGGGGAGAAGGAGAAGACTCTGGACTCTCTGGAGAGCCCTATACTCCATCCTGTCTTCTGCCCTGGACCCCTGCCGAACCCCTGTCACCACCTCCCCACTAGTTGTAGCCCCTGGGGCGAGGCCAGAGGGGCCACCCACCCTATCTCCTTCCCCAGCCTCCCGGGCCCAGGGATGTTCCTTCACCTGGACAGGGCTGGGCAGGGCCTTCCGACTCAGCTGTGGAGAGAATGTGCCTGTGAGCCCCACCCCGCCCTGCCCGCCCAGGCTGCAGGTGCTGCAGCGCAGGCCAGACACACACACAAGGAGGCAGGCAGGGAAGGCTGCTGAGGGCGCATCTCCCCAGCCCTTTGGTGTGGCGGTGAACTAACACCCAGAAAGGCTAAATGGCATGTCCGGGGTTCGTGGATTTTACAGTCAGGTGCCTGTGGGGACAGAGAGCTCCACAAAGCATCCCTCATCCCCACCGGAAAAAAGCCCCCCACAGCGGGAGGCAGGGGATGTGGGTGGTCTGCCCTGATTCCCTTGACCTGCTCAAAACTCCAGAGGTGCCTCCCCAGCCAGCCAAGCAGCGCCACCCCACCCGCACACACACCCTCCCAGCACCTGAGAGAGAATGGGGTCCTACCCACCTTTCTTGGAGCGGCGGGGCTTGGGAGGAGGCCCAGTTGTGCGGGCTGTGGAGTACACAAAGGGACCATTCCCTGATCCAGGAAAGCAGAGAGAAAGCGAGGCAGGGGAGGTGGGAGAGACAGGACTGGGACTCTGGAGTTCCCTCTCAGGGCCGTGCTGGCTTACTGAGCTTGTTTCATGAGGGCATTCATCTCCCATCCCTGACAAGAGCCCCACCCAACCTCCAGGACCCAAAATTCCTGGCTGCGTGGCTGTACTCCCCTCCGCAACAGACGCCCACTCCATGTGGCCAGCCCACGTGCAGTCTGACCACCAGCCACAGGGTTCTCAAGGCTCCAAGGCTCTGCTAGAGTCTGGGTAAGTGGGGGCACCCCAGACACAACAATTGCTCAGGGTCAGGTGGAGTTGGAAGAGGGCTGGTAGGAGGGGGGTGAGGGACAGCAGCAGGTCATACCTGAGCCCTCGAGGAGAATATCTGGGGACAAATAACCCCGCTGGAGCAGCTGCTGTCTCCCGGCAGGGCTGTCCACAGCCACCTCAGCCACCATGTTGCAGGGAATGTAGCCTGTCCGGCCCCCACCTTCGCCCCGGTAGAAGCCGTCGGCATCCTTGTCCCCAAACACCTGGAGGCAAAGAACAGTGGTCTGAGCCAGTTCTGCTCGCTCCCTGTGCCCCAGGCCCTGAACCCCAGCAACACCCCACTTGGAAATGCAGAAGAATCTTCTCCCTTTCGTAGGCCATGGAATGGGAAAAGGGGAAAAACAGAAACGAACAGGATCAGAGGAATAGGAGAAAACAGCCCTTTCTGTATTACCCCATTCACTGTCTACACGGTCATGCCCTTTGCCCACCCCAGAGTGGATCTCCTTAATCTCAGAGCAATAGCAAAATGCCTTCAATCCATACTTGGAGGAATAATAAAAATAGCAATGTCAGCAGCAGATAGTTAGACTGTGCTGCCTATGTGTCAGGCAGTTTAAGCTCTTTATGTACATTGGATCATTTAATCCACAAACCACCCTGTGAGGTAGACACTAATATTATCCCCATTTTACCAATAAGAAAACTGAGGCCCAGAGGGCCTAGGTAATCTACTCAAGGTTACACAGCTAGAAGCGGCAGAGTCAGGGTCCAAACCCACGTCATCTGGAAGCTGTGTTCTCCGCCCATCTGTGCTACCTCCAGTGGAGGAAAGGAGGGAGGAGGGAAGACCTAGCTGGTGTTTGGAGCTCTGAGCCCTGATGGCAAATCAGTCACCTTCAGGATCTGACCCTCTCGGAAGGGAAGCTCTTCTTCTCCAGCATCAGGATTGGGCGACATTGACACGGGGTCGTAGTCAAACAGAGCCACAAAGATCCTGACGGGTAGGTGCTGGTAAGCCAGTGCTTCTGACGGGCTCCTCACAGGGACTGTGGAGACAGTGGAGAGGGCGGTGATGCAGCGAGTTCTGGCCGAGGGGTTCTAGCTCAACCCCCATCAGATGCTCACCTAGCTCTGCAGTGCTTGGCCTGGGGACTCGGGCACCTCTCTTCTGGGGGCCTCTCCGCCCAGAGCTGTCCTGCCCTCTGGCTTCCCTGGTCTCTGTTGCCTGCAAAAAGAGGGCAACAGATGGCAGAAGTAACACACCATCCCTCCGGTGGGCCCGTGCTCCCCAGCTCTGCCCCATCAGCGTAAGCAGCACAGCAGCGCAGGAGCACAGCAGTTCTCTCCTGGAGTCTCGCCCGGCCTGCTGGAGACCTCAGACACTCCCACAGTGGGAGGGCGGGCAGGAGGGGAGGCCCCAGCCCCTGCCCCCAAGTAGATGAGTGGAGTAGAGGGGACTAGAGTTGGCTGAGGAGCCTGTGAGAGGAGGGCCTCCCATCAGCATCAGGGCAGGTGACCCTGGACATGGCATCACAGTCAGCGTCCTGAAGCCATAACTAGCTATGCAGAGGAAAGGGCGACCCTGCCCAAAGGCCGCAACAGGTGACTAGTGATAGAATATTGTGCATCCCAGTTCTGATCAGCAGAAGCAGCAAAGCAGTGGAATGTGGGTGGGAGGAGGCAGGTGAGGAAGCCCGGAGGCCTGGCCCCACCTCTGCTGATGGAGGCGGCAGCGTGGAATGGGAGCTGCTGGTGGGCAGCAAGCAGGGCCACCAGGCAGCAGCAGGCAGGGGCTGCCCAGGGCGGGGAGTGAGCACGGACCCGGGAGAGTGGCTCCTTGGCTCTGCCCGTCGCACTGCGGCCTCTCCGCTCTGGCTCCCCTTTCTCCCAGGCTGGGAGGGGTGGGTAGGGTTTGGGGCCTGAATTGGCCTTCGGAGGCCCCCTGGGCCTTCCTACGGTTGCTGTGCCCCAGGCCTCCCCATCTCCAGGGTAGCAGGAGCTGGTGATGCTGATGCCCCCGCTGCCCGCCTCCTGCTCGTCCTCCGAGTCATATTCAATGCTGATTTCCAAGCACTTGGGGGAAAGGCAGCTGGCCAGGCCAGGCTCCAGCGCCCGGCCACGGGAGCACCTCCGGGAAGGGCCCAGCCGCCCTCTCCCGCTAGCCTCTAGTCCAGTCCTGGGGCCCTCAATTACAGGGAGGCCACCCCTCTCCCGTGTGGGGCCGGGTCGTCCAGAGGCCTGGGGCCCATTGTTGCTGAGAAGTCGGCTGCAGTGTTCACGGGGATCTGGAGGCCGCCTGCGGCTTGGGGGCTTCTCAGGGGAGCCCCCTCCTCTCCTCCGACTGCTTCCACCAACTAATCCAGGCATGTCCTCCAGGCAGTCTCCAGCCCTGGAGGGCTCAGGAGACAAGGGACACTGGCCAGGTCTTCTGGGCTGACCACTGTCACAGTCCAGCCCCAGCAATGCAGGTTCAGGCGGGCCAGGGTCTTGGGAAGAACAGCCTGCCCCTGGCTTCTCCTTCTCCTCGTCCTCCTCTTCCTCCTCCTCCTCCTCGGGGATGCTAAAGAGCTTCTTGCTGCAGAACTGCTGGAGGGGCAGCTCCAGGATCTGCTCCAAGATCTCCTCATCGCTGTCAGTCTCACAAAAGGGGTCGGGCTGGGACTGGTGGAGGTGGGGAGGTGGGAGTAGAACGCAGCAGGGAAGAGAGATGTGTGGGGAAGAGGAGAGAGAGCTGTGATCTTTGCCCTCAAACGAAGGCAGGGGTTACGGACAACCCCACAGCCCTCCCACAGCTTCCTCCGAGAGGAAGGAACCAGAGGGACAGTGGCTGGCCCAAAGTCGCACACATATCCAGTGAGAGCCAAAGGAAGAATCAGGGAACACACTCTAGGAACTGTCACCAGCCCCGTGGAACAGGAGCATTGAGGAGCAGACCTCCCCATCCCCTCCCCAGAAGCTACCAGCACAAGAATCTTAGGTGGCACCAGCCTCCCTTGGCCAGGATGCTGTATCTGGTGGGCTGGAGGGAGAGAAGGTGCAGAAGTGAGTTCCTCCTCTTCCCCTTTCTTTCCAGGAGGGCAGAGGCCAATCCTGGGCCACTTACTATCTTCTGCTTAGGACAGGGCCCAGGCCACAGACCTAGAATGTTACTGGCACTCAGTGGCAGTCAGAGCAGCTGCTGAGACACAGTTGGGAGGCCCCAGAGACTGAGGCCTGGGGCCCAGCAGCCCATCCGTACCCTGTTACCTTGGCCCCATTCTCCCTGATGCTGTTGCCAGCAACCTGCTTCTGGAAGGAGCAAGTCCTGGAACCCAGCTCCTCCTCCTCCTCCTCCTCCTCCTCCTCCTCTTCCTCCTGGATGTCTGATAGGTCTGAGCTGCGGCCGTGGTCCACGAGGGAGTTCACCAGATGAACCCCGAGCTCTGCCGCGTCCTCCTTCTGCAAGAGGTGAGGCAAGGCAGGAGAGATAAGGACAGTGAGGGGCACAGGGGGATCCAGGCAAGGTCAGCCCCAGCCACAATAACAAGGGTCCTTTGGCAGAGGGAGAAAGAGCCATGCCCTAAATGGGGGAGGTACACCATGGGTCGGGGGCAGGTGGGAGAAGGGAGATGGGAGCCACATGGGACAGTGAAGTCCTAGAAGACAGACAGACACACAGCACAGCCAAAGGTGTGAGAGCAGGACCAGAGCAGAGGACAGGCAGAGAAGGCAACTGGATTTGGGCTGGCAGAAGGTAGGGAGGCAGGCCCCAATTCTCTGAAGTGACAGTGTGTCCCCAAACCCTACCTCAGCCCTGGGCCTCAGCCCAGACCCTGGGTCTCCTCCTTGGCACGCCTCAGTATTTGGCGCCTGCTGGGCCATTGCTCCCTGGGCGGAGCTGGGGGCCGGGCAGGCCTCTCCTGCAGTCCACTCGGCCTCCTGCTTGGCCAGTGAGGGAGCTGCGGGGCTAGGGTCCTTCTCACCCAGGGTGGATGTGCTGGCTGTCCTCTCCTCTGAGGTGCCCAGCACTGCTGCCCCAGTCTCCTCCTGGAACAGAGAGCGCTGAGGAAAGACCCAAGCCCAGGTCCCTCTCCCAGCATGCACCTGCTCCCCTCTCCCCGAACAGGGTACCTGGGAGCAAGGTGCTGGAGGATCCTCGTGGGACCCTTTTGGCATCTCTCTGGAAGGGCTTGCAGGGGGTGCTCCTGGGGGCTCTTGAGTTCCAAGGGGAGCAGGGTGCTGGAGAGGAGAGCTGGGGTCTCCAGGCCCTGGGGAGGCTGAAGCAAGGGGTGCTCTGGCCTCTGGGCTTGGTCGCGGTGAGGGGCAGGAGACTCGGGCTGGCAGGCTGGCTGGAGCCAGGGCAGGAGTGATAGGAGCCGGGATGGAGTCCGCCGACTCCCCGTGGGGCGACATGGTACGTACGACCACCTCACGACACACCTGCAGCAGCTGCAGCTGGGACAACTCCACCAGCACACTGCCTGCTGTGGGCGAGGCCACCTCCATGATCTGTAGGGTGGAGGGGGCACAGGATGGGAAGCAGAGGCTGAGACAGCCAAGTGTGAGGATGTACTGACAGCAGTGGCAGCTAGCATTATGCCAGGTACTGTGCTAAGCCCTCTGCATGGCCTATCTCATTTCATCCTCCTGGCCACATGGCTTCAGTGGTGGAACAGTTCTAAAATCCGTCATGTGCTGCCAAAGCCCATGCTCTTAACCCATCTGCCTCATGGTGCCCAAATGCCAGGGGCTGGGCATCTCTGTGCCAGGTCAGAGAGCCTTGGTCTCTGAGCATAGCAAGAAGGGATCCACCTCCACTCCCAGGGTACAGTGAGCAGGGCCATACCTTCTGCCCATCAGCATAGATGGCATAGCCTGTGACCCGGACACCGTTGGATGTGCCAGCAGCATCGATGGTGACTGGGAGCCAACTGATGATCAAGATTCCAGGTGAGGGCCCAGGCTCGATCTGCACATCCAGAGGGGCATCAGGCGGGCCTGGGGGCAGGGAGGCACAAGATGCAGTGATGCAGGATGCTCCCTATCAGAGATACCTGCCCAATTTGCCATTTCTCTGATAATGCAAATAAGATCAGGGTCCCCTTCTTCCATCACCCACGGCCTGGCCTCCTGGGTGTTCTGGACAACAGAGCCCAAGCCCACATACCTGCTGGGAGTGTGGTGAACTGCAGGGTGGCAGCCCGCTGCTCCAGCCTCTCCCAGCCTGGTTCCCAGGGCCCTTGGGGTGGGAGCTGAGCCTCCACTTGGGCCTGATAGGGTGTGCCAGGCCGTAAGTGGCAGAAGGTGGCCCAGTAGGTACTGGGGCTGGCAGGTGGGCACTCTTCCCCATTGAGGTAGATGGCATGGGCCAAGTTGCTATTGCCGGGCACCCAGGTGATCTCAGCAGATGTGGCTGTCAACCGATGGACCCGCAGCTGGCTGGGCACCACTCCAGCCCGGGCACCCACCGCCAAGCAACAGCGCAGTGGGTCGGAGCTGCCCCGGCTGGTCAGGGCCTGGACAGAAATGTGAAGGGGCCCGGCCCTCAGGTCCAGGTTCTCCAGCACAGCCTTGGGTGGCGCCCCAGGCCCCAGGGCCTGCCGCAGCTCCCCATTCACACAGATATGGAAGCCGTGTAGCTCCACTCGCTCAGGAGGGGGTTCCCAGGCCAGCACTACACTGTGGGCCAGCTGCTTGAGGACCACCAGACAGCGGGGGTAAGGCACAGCAGGAGGCTCGCCCAGGCCCTCCGGTGATGGGCTCACACTGAGGTCGTCCCCTGCATCCTCCTCCTCAGGTCTGGGCTGGCTCCGTCCCCCGCTGCTTTGGCCCCCGCTACTGCTGCCACCCCCACCCACACTCAGGAAACTGAGTTCAGGGCCTGAGCTGTGGGACAAATCGGCCAGCTCCGGAGGGAGGGAGGTCAGGAGGTCGTCATCCGACACACGCTCTACAAAATTGGAAGGGACCAGGCCCCTTCGGCCATCCATGAGCTCTCCTGGCAGGAGGAGGACAGGAAAGGGCAGGGCAGGGGAAGACAGAGAGGAGATAAAGAAAAAATGGTATAGTAAATGTATTTTAGCAACTGCTAGTGGGTGATCTTCAGCATTTGATTCAAATCAACATTTAACTGTCAATTCTTTTAAAAGACAAGAGCTGTAAAGATCTGGATTAGAGATAGGTCTGATAATTATTTTGGTTCTACAGGACAATGCTTCTTCAATTTTAACTTGGATATGAATCACCTGGATATTTGTTAAAATGCAGATTCTAACTCTCTGGATGGGGCTGAGATCCTGTGATTCTAATAAGCTACCAGGTGACACTCGGACTGCGAGGACGGAGGAGAATATCATGTTCTAAATAAGCACGTTGAGTATTTCAAAGTAAAATATCATAATGCTTTTAAAATCATTTTTAACCTACATACAGATAAAGCAAATATGCCCACGTTTTAACAACTGTTGAATCTAGGTGCTGGGTATATAAGTATTCAAATGTATTCTGTACATTTGAACACTTTTGTGTTAAAAATTGCAGTAATAATTTCATAATTTCATATTAAAGTTTTAAAAAATAAGCAGGTCAAGATGAGAAAACTGGCCAGGCATGGTGACTTATGCCTGTAATCCCAGCACTTCAAGAGGCAGAGGCAGGCAGATTGCTTGAGCCCAGGAGTTTGTGACGAGTCTGGGCAACATGGCAAAACCCCATCTCTACAAAAAATGCAAAAATTAGCTGGGAGTGGTGGCACGCCTATAGTTGCAGCTACTCAGGAGCCTGAGGTGGAAGGATTGCTTGAGCCCGGGAGGCAGAAGCTACAAGCTGTAATCGCGCCACCGCACTCCAGCCTGGGCGACAAAGCAAGATGCTGTATCCAAAAATAAAAAAATTCTGCTGATTGGATTTTACCTGGGCCTGAGGAACAGGGGCCAGGGTGCCCCTCAACTTCCCTTTGTGAACAGCAGACATCCACAGAGGGAGAGAGAGAGAACCAACTCAGCAGAGTAAGGGAAGGAATCTTTAGACACAAATGAAGTAAGTGCTAGTGAAAAGAGTCACTTGTAAGTTCTAGAAGGATCAGGACCCCCAGCAGGCCTGCGTCTAGGAGCATGACTGACAGCAATCAATCCAGGCAGCCACCAATGGTTATGTTTTGTTACCAAATGGTTATGTTTTGTTACCTGCGTCGGTTCTCCTGAAGACTTGACAAGAGAGTATTTTAAAACATTTGCTGCTGTTGTTTGATTGAGGGATGTCAAGGAAGCTGGGCACCTAACATGTCATGTCACGGCCAATTTAAAGAAGAAAAAAGTTCTCAGGAAACAGACAGCTGGCAGCTAGTGTGCTTTATTGGGAGGAAGGGGGAGCACGAGCCAGGGCTTAGGGGAGAGGGGTGAGTGTAGGCAGGTCTGAGCTGCAGTGGGGCCTGGAGTTTCCCCCAATAGTCATCTGTGCCCCCCACCTCCACCCTCTCTCTCTCTGCCTATGCTAGGAAAAAAAAAACAAAACAGTAAGGAACTTTAAGAAACAAGAGGGACTGTCAATAAATTCGCTGATAGAATAAGCACCGTAGAGGGTTGAATGGTGGCCACCCAAAGACATGTCCATGTTCTAGTCCCTGGAACTTGTGAACATGGCCTTATTTGGAAAAAGAGTCTTTGCAGATGTAATTAAGTTAAGGATCTTGAGAGGAGATCATCCTAGATTATCCGGGTGGGTCCTAAATCTAATGACAAGTGTTTTTATAAGAGACACGCAGAGGAGAAACACTAAGAGGAGGAGGAGATGGTGACCACAGACACAGAGACTGGAGTGAGGTGGCCATAAGCCAAGGAACAACTGGAGCCACCGGAAGCTGAAAGGGACAAGGAACGGAACTTCCCCTAGAGCCCCCACGGGGGATGCAGTTCTGTGAATACCTTGACTTCAGACTTCTGGCCTCCAGAAGAGGCAAGTGAGAGAATAAATGTCTATTGTTTCAAGTCACTCCATGTAATTGTTCCTGCAGCCCTAGGAAACGATCATAAGCTCCAGCACTGTGGAGTGGGAGACAAAGGCAGGAATCTTCACAGTAAGAGGATCTCCAGCCTGCAGGGCTGAAGCTGGAGCCTGGGCCAGAGTCAGGCACATGCTCCAGAAGCCCACACAGCTGAGAACAGCCTAGGTGGCCCAGACGTAGAGGAAGCAGCCCTTTAGCTACAGTTGGACAGGGAATACGGCATCTTGCCCCCAGTGGTCTACGTGCCTCTACATCTATCCCAATTTATCCTAGATCGCAGAGTTCAAATTCTAGTCATTTGTGGTTAGTTAATACTTATGCCTTTGCTGCCTGCCTCCAAAAAAAGGGTGTTTGGGTTTGGGTTTTTGATTTTGGTGGTTTTTTTTTTTTCTTTCTTCATTTATAAAGTATTGTTTTTCTGAAACCTTTTTATTAATTCTGATCTTCATAATGTACCCCTGCAGGAAGCTTAACTGTTTAGGCCACAAAGCCAGGTACCATGGGTCCCAGCAGCTCCTCAAATAACAGGCAGAGGACCCAGGGAAAAGAATCTGAGCAGGCTCCCAAGCTTCCAGGGTTACAGATTCAGAGCTAAGCCCATTCCTGAATCTCTATACACAGTTGTGGCTCTCGCCCTGCCCTGTCCATGCCCCATCCAATTCCCTACACAGTGCCAACCTCTCTGCTGCTGATGGACTCAGCCTGGTGGTGCCCAGGCCAGAGCCACCCTGAGAGAGTCTCCCAAGGCCATGTCTTCCGCAGGCCCATGGTGCCCAGTCTCAATGAGGCATCTGCCTTTAGTTGCCTGGTCAGCCCTCTGACTACCCACAGGAGCTGCAGAACCTCCCTGAAGCGGACCCCCTGCCTGGGCCCTGACAGCTGCTAACCGCTTGCGAACACCTTCCCCTGGAATCTTTACCCTGATTCCTCCTTCGCGTACCTGACTGGAGTCCAGCATCAAATCTATGCTGCATGCCTGACCTCAGGTGTCACTAGCGTGAAACACTGCCATGTCCTGACCATCCGCACAAAAATGAATCTAGCCAGAATCTCCTGTGACACTCTGTCCACCATCTGGACTATGCTGTCCTGTCCTGCTTGGAGCCAGACCCCCTTCTTTCTCTTTCTCCAATGGCCACTAGGTCTCTGTATGCATTTTAGCTGAGACCAAAAAGTTAAGGTGGGCTGAGCACGCTGGGCAGAGGGGATGGATGGATGGATGGATGGATGGATGGATGGATGGATGGATGGATGTCTTTGGGAACATGGACTCAAAGGCAGGGGAATGGACAGAATGACCCCCTACTACCTTCCTACCTTCAAAAAAGCCATCCTCATCCATGTTGCCATAGACGTAGATGTACTCGCCAGCTGTCAGCGGAAGCTCTGCTTCTGGATTCTCATTGGGGCCCTCAAAGGGGTTGTAGCTGTTGGGGGAGGCACAGAGGAGGAGGAGGAGGAGAGTGACCTACACTCCACTTCCATGTCCCGTCTTCTCTCTCCCACTGCACTGAGCCTTTATGGAGACTTGGCTGTGGTTGTCCACCACTAGCAAAGCACAGCCCTCACTGCACCCACCTTGGCCCAACTAGGTGATGAGAATAGGTCCATTGTGTCCTGTGCCGCCCCCACCACTTCCAGAGGTCTCTATCTCCTCTCGGCCCCCTCATACACCTCATACACCCCTGCATACACCCCAAATGCTGGGGCTGGGCTCGAGGGCAGTGAGGGTGAGGTACCCACCTATAACGCGCTAGGAAGACCTGGATCCTGGCTCCTCCCCGGCTGCCCTCTGGCGTGGCTGGGAGCAGGGAGACACTGTCTGCCTCCAGCTCCTCTACTTCACTGGCTGTGTCCACCTGGGGGCAAACAGAAAGCGCTGGTTCCTCTTCAGGGCCTGGGGCCAAACGCCAAGCAGGCAGGTTTCCAGGCTGAGCCAGAGGACCTATGGCTTTGAGGAGGGAAAGTGAGCACATACCTGCTGCACAAGACCAGTGGCAAGAACCCCCTGATGCTCTCTAAATCCGTACCTGAGACAGGTCCTGGCAGAGCCCAGCTACCCTGGGCAGGGGCAGTGGGGATAACCCAGATTGCTCCGTGAGCCTCTACTGCACCCGACAGGAAATAAAGCCACTTGCCTCATCTCAGAGGGGCGCAGGCCATGCTGGTGTGGGGCGTGGGTGTCAATAGAAATTTGGTTTGGTTCCTTAAAGTAAAAACTCAGCAAAGTTGCCAGGTGCAGTGGCTCACGCCTATAATCCCAGCACTTTGAGAGGCTGAGGAGGGCAGATTGCTTGAGCCAGGAGTTTGAGACCAGTCTGAGAAGCATAACAAAACCCCATCCCTACTAAAAATACAAAAATTAGCTGGGTGTGGTGGTGCACGCCTGTGGTCCCAGCTACTTGGGAGGCAGAGGTGGGAGGATCGCTTGGGCCCAGGAGGCGCAGGTTGCAGTGAGCCAAGATTGTGCCACTGCCCTGCAGCCTGGGTGATAGAGCGAGACCTTGTCTTTAAAAAAGAAAGAAAGAAAAAAGAAACACCTCAGCAAAGCACCCCAACTGTAAATCGCTGGAAGCAAGGAGGCAGAAGGAGCTTGAGAGGTCCCTGCTTCTAGCTGAGTGACAGTGTGTCTGCCGTTCAGCTCTGGAACTCAGAACTTCCTGTCTACTTGCCTGGCCCACAGCCCAGGGCACCCCAACCTCAGGGCACCCCGATTCTCTGACCCTCATTGAGGTTGCTGGGGTAGCCTGGGGAACAGGCTGCCTTCTCTTCTCTGCCAGTGCCTGGGAGAAGGGGACCAAGTGAGCAACCTCTCCATGACCACATCCAAAGCCGGCACCACCCTTCTATCCCACGAGGGGGCAGTAGAGGCCCGGGGCTTCATTCTACCACTTTCTGAATGTTTGGCTTACAGAGCTGCTCCTGACCTGCCCCCTCCACCTTCTGGGGTTTGTGGGTAGAAAGAAGGATGAGTTGACAACCAGAGCTATGAGTGATGCCCAGGAACTTAGTAATAATAACAGCTGCCCCCTGTTGAGCACACATCCTCTGTGCCCTGCACTGAGACAGGCATGTTCCTTCTTCATTTAACTCTCACAACAAGCTTAGAAGGCAGGTTTTATTAGCTCCAGGATTCAGATAAGGAAACCGAAGCTCAGAAAGGCTCAGTGACTTGCCTAAGTCAAAGCTGGGATTTGAATCCTGGAACATGTGCTTTCTCACACAACCACCTGCTTTCACTACGGACACTCTTAGGAACAGTCTCTTTATGCAGATCCTGGTGCCCAAGTGTCTCCTCCATCCAGCGCAGCACTCCACAGCCTCCCTGGGCCTCCCGGGAGTGGGCTGGGGTGGCTCCAGGTGCGGCTTGCAGGCAGGCGGCGGAGGGCGGGAACGGCTCCACCCGAGCCCCTCGCCCACAGGAGGAATCCACAGGCCTCCCACCTCCCAACGTGGGACCCCAAAAATCGCCACCCAACTCCTGGGGACCCCAGAAGAGGTCAGGGCCACCTGCCCTGCACCCTGCCCAAAACCAAAGCCAGAACTTCAGGCCCCACCCTAGCACTTACCTCAGGTGTAGGGCATGACTTGGGGCTGTTGTGGATGGACTCGGAGTGGGAGGAGTTGGAGAGAGACTCTGCCTTCTTGGCTGTCCTTCGAGGGACCCCAGTGAGGGTGGCAGGGGCAGGCTCGGAAGACTTTGGGGTGCAGCGCCCAGGGGAGCCCGGCGGGAGGTCAAGGTCTAAAGAGAAGATGGCACGTGGGCTTGGGGTCTGTGGCCTGAGGAGGGACCAGGAGATAGGGTGGTGCTTCTTGGATATGGGGGCCAGGCCCTCCATAGCCGGGCTTCCTTACCAAAAGGGAAATGTTTAGAGAGAAACTTACTAAATAGAGTATAGCTGATTTACAAATACTATTTCACATGATCGTCAAAACAGCTTGATAAGATGCATTGAATTATTCCTGTCTTACAGCTTACGAAACTATGGCCCAGAGAGGTTAAGCAGCATTCTCAATTCACAGTGACTGGCAAGTAAGCGGAGCTGGGACCACCAGATCTGACTGACCTCCAAGCCCCCACTCTTCACAAGACTACACTGCCTGCTACTGACTCCTAGTGCCCAGCCCTCAGCCCTGATCATTCAGGTCCTTTTGGAAGGAGAGGAGCAGCGGCCCACGATGCCTGGGCCAGACTCTGGGACAGTCACTCCCTCGGGCTTTATTTTCCCCCATCAGAACCTGGTTCTAGCCAGGCACAGCCCCAACCTGCTGTGGACTTTGGATGAGTTGCTGGCCTTCTCTGATTCTGAACTCTCTGCTCTATACAAAAGCCCAGGCCTGGGGATTCCAGGCCAATGCCACTGGGGTCCACCTTACCTTTGGGGCCAGACCCCCGGCAAGGCCGGGGAGTGGAGCAGCAGCAGGGGGGTGGCGGGCGGTCTCCAAGGGTCCCGCAGTCCAGGGCAGATGTGAGCAGATCCAAGGGGCCCGGGTGCAGGCGGAAGGCCTGGAGTTCCTGTGCCAGGAGGCTGAACTGCTCGGTTTGGCTGCGGCACTGTTCCTCGAGCTCTCGAACCCGGGCCTGGGCCAACACCCACCATGAGCCACCAGGCCCCTCAAAGCTGCCCAGTGCCAGCCTGTGCCATCTCTACACAGCCCTACACTGGGTTTCAGGTCACATCCATCCACCCAGCCCCAGACCTAGGCACCAGCCTTGCCTTGGCCACCCCACAGCCCTTAACGCATCAGAGCTGAGGGTGAAGTCCTGGGCTGTGTCCTGGGACATCTTCACCCCAGCCCCCTCCAGAGCCAAGGCCGGGGCCTGCCACACAGTCACCAACCCTCAGGCCCTAGGCAATGGCACTTCTGCCTCTGGCTGCTTTCTAGGCCAACAGGGATCATTCCCACCCCATCATCACCACCATCACCGCAGGAGTTTTCTCAGCTCCACCGCTCATCACCCTCCCATAGTCAGCAACCCAAACCCCTTCCCTGAGAGAGGTGGGCAGGAAATGCCACAGGAGAGCCAGGGATGTCTTCATGATGGGAATGGGCCAATGCCCGGGAAGTGTTCTCAGGTCTGAGGAGAGTCCCAATAGCAGGGGCTCTCTCCAGCCTCTATGGCGAGGCTCCTAAGTTAGACTGGCGATGACCTTCCTCATGATCAGGGTGTCTAGAGAGGGGAGGCCCAGTGTCTGACAGACACGGCGGCAGGCCTGGGACGAGGGGACAGCTGCACATGTCCTGTGGGAACCCCATCCCCTCTGGATTCTCAGGTCTGCTCCCAGTGACACCCCCTCTGCTGGATGAGAGAGTGGGACTGCCTGGGCCCTGAGGGAGGAGATGCAACCCAGCCAGCCTAGAGAAGTGTGGGGAAGCAGAGAACGAGGCGCTACCTGCATGGAATCCAAGGTAGACTGTTGCAGGAAAGGAAGCAGAGAACAGGTTAGAACCCTGAGCACTGTGGGGTGCTAACCCAGAGAGAAGGCATGGAGCTTTAAAGGCCCCTCTTGCCAACCCTGTCCCCACACCATGTCCCATTCCAGCCTCTATCTGGAGCTCCCCTGCCTTCCTCTCCAAGACGGTGGAACTGGGCCACTTCCGGCGCCTAATCCAGCACCGTCTGCAAACGGCCTCTTCATGTTCTCCTCTTGGCTTCGGCCTGGGCCTACAGTGGAGGAACCAAATGCTGGAGGGAAGGAGAAAGGACCTGGGGTGGCGTAGAGAAGCGATGCAAAGAGGAGGGTAGAAAGGCCGAGGCATGGGGAGGAAAGACGCAGTGAAAGAAGAGTAAAGGGAGAGAGCCTGATGAGGATCGGGACGGGGGCTGAAGGTTTCCCTCCCTCCTGAACACCCACCCTGACCTAACCTTAGCCGAAAGAAGGCAATGGGGTCCAGGAAGCAGCCGTGGCTGATCTGCTCCCCTCTTTCCTGAGCACCAGATCCTCCGGTCTTCTCTCCCTTTCTGGACTGATTTGCTCCCGCCTCTTGGCCTGCTTCGTGCCCTCGCCTTTTTTGAATGCTCTAGGGTTCCGCGGACCCAGTTGCTGGGCCCAGTTTATATTGTCTACCTTCTCGCACTAGGTCCCATCTACCTCATCGCAACTGAACACGCTGATGGCTCCAGATACTGTCCAGAGAGACACTTCACCTAACGCGGCTCATGTATCAGTGCCTGTGGACAGTTCCCTTGAATGTTTAACCCCGTAAGCTCAGACTGGCCCGAACCTGGACTTAGCCTTGGGTGCCCTACGTCTCTGATCGCCTCTGCCCTCATCCGCTCCCTCGCAGAGCGGCGCAGAGCCCCCTCCCCCGGTTTATACAGAAATGGCTGACAGATGAAAGGGGTTCAACTGGAATCCACGGGAGCCTGGTGTCTAATTCTTTTTTTTTTTTTCGAGATGAGTCTTGCTCTGTTCGCCCAGGCGTGGAGTGGCCGTGCGCAATCTCAGCTGCACTGCAGCTCTGGCTCCGTGGTTCAAATGATTCTCCCTGGCCTCAGCCTCCTGAGTAGCGTTGGGGGATCTACCGGCACTGCCCGCAATGTAGGTTACATTTTGTGTATTTTTGGGTAGAGATGGGTCTTCACCCATCATTGGGCCAGGCTGGCCTCGAACTCCTGAGCCAAGTAATCCACGCCCTTGGCTCCGCAAAGTGTCTGCGGCAGACAGGCGTGAGCCCCATGCCCGGCTAGAAGCTTGTCCAGCTTCTAATTCCTCTAAAAACATAACTCAACCTGGCACTGTCTCCCCTTTCGCTGCATGCTCCCCTGTCCAGACGCCACTATCTCCTCCCAGGCCACTGCCCGGCCCTGCTCAGCCACTCCCTACAAAGTCCCACTCCCAATGCACAATTGTCACCTCCCTCAGCGGAGGCCTTCCTGATCGACCTCTAAGTGGCTCCCTCACCCCATCCCATCCTCTGTCACATCACACCCCCTGCCTTC